TACACAGAATGTTGCTAGCTATTCCAGTGGTTCTTTGACTTTGGTAACTGGAGCCGTGGATAAACCGTGAGCTCGCTCCTTTTGCTTCGACGCCGGCATGGCTTCGCCACTGGCTGCCGTGGGCAAGGACATCTGGCAATTCTTAGGGGTGCGCGTGGGGACGGTTGGGCTTCAGCTTTTGCTTTCACTCTGCAAGAGTGCATCTTGAGATTGCATGCCGCCAGCTTCTTCACTATGCCTCCAATGTTGAGGCGCAAAATCAATCACTGGGCTCCATTCCATTCCCCCGATCACAACATGTATGTATATATATATATATACAGATAGCTAGAACGTCATATATTAGACAATAGAAAATATCAAACCTCATAAACGAAGCACCCCAACCCCAACAATCCGCGCAGTCCCAAATGCCTGCAGTTGGATACAACCTCGAAAGCTAAGGCTTGAATTGCGCAGAATTGGTCCTGAACCCTAGGTAGATCTTAAAATCGAAACCCCTCAACCCGGGGTTTCCGTTGGGTTAGCACGGGCATTTATCGTGGGTCCCTTAAAAGCGAAGTGCTCCGGGGACTGAGGCTGAAATTCTGAAGCTACCTAGCCTCGATAAGTTCACTGACACCTCATGAGTTTACAGTACAGCTGCCCCAGGGTTATGGAGCAGAGGTCCTCAACCCTTTAAACCGTAAGCTCGAAACTTGAAACGTCAGACCTCAAATCCAGAACCCTAATGACGTCTTCCATGTGCATGGACATGTGACATTGGTGGAAGAAGGAGAGGTCAGATTTGGCCTCACTACCATCCAACGCCGCCTGGCAAAGCTGAAGGCTTTAGGCAGAGATTGGGTTCAAAGAGGTTTGGGGCTGTAGGGGTTTAGGCTCCAGGTCTTATGGTCACTACTACTAGGGGCTGAAGACTCCAAGGTAAGCTTTTAAGCCATGGTTGGGATGTTGTTTAGGCTTTTAGGGACAGTGCAGAGCGTGGCTCAGGATGCTCTTGTGGTCGCCAGTGTCTATGGGTCTTAGGATTTCTTGAGGGCGGTCTCTGAAGGGCTGTTAGTCTTCGGTGGTTACCCATAGTCTCCTCTGTAGTTCCTCTTTTGTGGCTTAACCAACCTGTATTGAGCATCCGAAAAGGTAGCCCAGAAATGATCTGCAGTGGAGACTATAGGTAGGTTTCGCGTTACTAAAAGCCTCCCAGTGTATCCAGTGTACCACTCCGTCAAAACCCTTGACCTGCGTCCCTCTAGCATGTGCCTTCTTGAAGTTGTCTTCTTTTGGCAAGAGTGTGCACCGAAAAGGCTGTCTAGCTATTTAGGCCGGTGTTAGGAAAATTGTCGAGTCGATGGCCTTGACATTTGGTCCAGCAGGCATATAAAAGCCAGAAGCGGCAGATCCCAAAACCAGACATTCAGAATGCAGGGCACTCAGGGCTCAGGATTGGGTTCGGAGGTGTCTTTCCGGCACTGAGGTGATGCGAACCATGCCCTACACCACGTGACCTGTCGGGAACAGAGTGCTCTTAGGCGAATTGGTACCTGTCAGACCTGCTCTCATTCCCTCTCTGACTAGTATAGAAGCAGTATGGAAGCTTGAAAAATTGGTAGTACTGTTCCTGAGGCTCCTTATTGCAAGTCTAGTGCAAACTATCCCCAAACCCGGTTCTCATTCTCAAGGCCCCGAAATCACACATCCTCACGGCAGCCCCATGCCCTGTCCCAGTAAGGGTTTGTGGTTTCGGGTCAACGATCACGACTTGTCTGTCCGATAAATTTCTCCCCATAGTTCTTCTTCACTGTTCACCAAAACTCGCAAGTCTGGTCCCTGCATGTCCGACATTGGTGGCTCTAACCTAGTGGCGTGAAGAACTATCAACACTGTTGTGATTGTTGTCAGGTCTTCGCCAAGATTTTATTCAAAAAATTAAGGCCTCTGCAAGGGTAGTTATCTAAACTAGGGTCCGTTTCTAGGAACCCAAAAGGAGCCCTAATTGAGAGAACTACCCATATTACCCTTTGCGTTTGTGCTCCGAGAGGCAGAATCAGAGTAATTTCCACTAGCAAATACTCCACAACCCTGGTCTAAAGCTTAACTTAACGCCCGTATGGTAGGCCGAAGATGCTGCTCAGGTACATCGCTGTAGGCTCTTATGCGATCATTGCCGGCTCTGAAGACGCCGCGTGGTTGGAGGCATCACTAATTACCAATATTGTGTCGTGGGGTTCCTTATTGTATATGTATAATATGCAGGAGCCCAAACCCCTTTGCTACTTGTTACAAGGCCTGATGTTCCCTGGCCCTGTAAGGGTTTCCGACGGTGATGGAGGCGACTCCAAGGTGCACTTGTAAGGGGTCAGGGCCAGGGCAATGTTGCAGCTTTCACTTTTCTACAGTTGTGACATTGTAGATGCACTGTACTTCCCCACGAGATGGTCGAGCTTGCGTACAGCAGCCTGGAGTTCAAACTTTGGTCAAGTCAGGCTGGGTGTGGAGCCCACTTGCAGTTTCAACTTCGATCAAGTTACGTAAACTTCGACCTCGGGCATAGAAGTTTGATGACCTCCTGTTGTTGTGAGAGACATGTCAAGCTGGTACCCCTGCCCTGCAGCTCTGCCTGCTGATGAACGAAATCTTGAACGCCGCCTTCAAGTTCATTCCCGCCCGAATCGTAGGCAAGCAGGCGGGCAGCAGCCACAGACTATCGGGAGTGAAGCCAGGTTGAGGGCCTACTTAGGGTTTTGCATCGAATGTATGTACAGATATATATATATATACACATGCATAAGTACATATTTAAATATTTGCTTGTTCACTTCTGTTTGTATTTGTATGAAGAACTCTGAGGGGGTGGTGTTGCATCTTCGTGTCTGTTATGTTTGTGGTTGGTGCGCGCCTGTGTTGCCAGAAGCCACGTGTTCTGTAAAGAAGTTTTACAAACAGTCCTGATGGATCCACAACTTCCTATTTTGTATGTGGGTAATTATCTACATTAGGGTCCGTTTTTGGCTCCCCTCCAAAATAGGTCGGCAGTACGGCGCCGGACCCCGAAAGGGACCCTAATTTAGAGAACTGCCCATGGAGGGGCGAGGTCGACCGTGCTTCCGTTTCGGGCACGGGCAGAAGTGGAGGATCGGTTCCATCCTCCGTACGCGATCCGTGCCCTTGGGGGGTATGTATAGACATGTGACAGTACTGTAGCACTGTGCGAAAAATGATGCAAACAGGATAACTCTCATGAGCGACGTTGCTAGAAATACGATAAGAGTGTACTAACTCTAGACCCACAAATCTTCCAACCTTGGACAAGCCGATTCTGCCTGCACGAAGGCTTCCTTGCTGCGAAGACCTGCTGGAGCTGCCGACAGATATTCGGACCGCACTGTGAAGCCTTAAACACATGCATGTGGCAGGAGACAAGTGTCAGTTTGGAGCTGGTACGTACCACGTAGTTGTTGAATACTGCTTGCCACGGCTGCGGTGAGGAAGCGATATAACTTGCAGACGACAGCAAGGCGGACGATGGCGATGGTGGTTGCACTTGTTGGGTCAGAGTGATGAAGACAGTGATGTGTGTCTTCGTGGTGGCGCTGATCATGGTGACATGTTGCGACTCTCGTAATGAATGAGTTTGGCGATGACAATGGTGATGCTCATGTTGTCGTTGTTCTTGCTGTTGCGGTTGGTTGGTTGGTTGGTTGGTTGGTTGGTTGGTTGGTTGGTTGGTTGGTTGGTTGGTTGGTTGGTTGGTTGGTTGGTTGGTTGGTTGGTTGGTTGGTTGGCTGGTTGGCAGTTCTTTTGTTGTGTTTGTTGAGTTTGTTGCTGTTGCTGTTGCTGTTG